GTCTCTAAAGGGCACTTAGGTATAGTTTCTCTCTTAGCATTTCCATTTTTAGTTGTTGAAATCTTCCCCTGAAAAATAAAAACTCTGCAGCGTGCCGCGGGGAGGATAGGGGCATAGAACCGTGGGGAGCACTAGGTTTTGCACGCTGGAAGGAGCTGACGGGCAGCCCTGTTAGCGTTCCAGCCCTTGGGAATGAACCATTTTCTGTTCAGATTTATAGAAAAGCTGCGCAAACACCGAGAAGAGTCACATCTTTGTTTGTATAGGTACAAATGCTCTCCCGGCTTCCTCACCTCATGTGCCCAGGGCCTTGGCACAGAACAGACATTGGGGACAGGAGGGTGGGGCAAGGCAGAAGCGCCATTCAGACACGGAGGGACCTGTCAATAGAATAGAGACACTTCTGTTGCAAAGCTCTGTTCCTGCTGGTGATGGGCCTGGCAACTCAGGACAAGCCCTTCCAATAGTGGGAGTTTTAGCTTTAAAAAGGAAAGTGTCAGGCTGGTAAGTCCCAGTCTTGCCCCTCCCTGTAAACTCCTCAGCTCTGGCTGCCTAATTGCTTTTCAGTGCTGATTTTGATTGCACTAGATGGGGTGTTTGGTTAAGCCCCAGTGGAAGAGGTTCCTCTTCTTCTATCTCCCTGCTTTCCTGCCTCTGCTCTACTGAGGCACTGCTTCTGTCCAACGCTTTTCTACTCAGTGGAAATGGAGCGTCAGTGGGGCACTTCCCTTCCCATTCTCTGATCCGCATTTTTACTTTTTGCCTGTCACTTTTTCCAGCATCAGCCAGGGGACAGATCACTGCTAGTGACTGATCCTTGTGATTCTCCATGGAAGTATTCGGTCCTGGTTAGCTGAGCAGGAAGCAGCTCCCCTTGACTCAGCTGAAATGAGCCATCTCTGAGGTATATTAGGGAAAGAATTTTGTGGGGTTTTGTGCCAGCACTGACTCACTTTGCATGAGCTGCTGCTTCAAGCTGTGCTACCTTCTCCCTGCGAGGGCCCTGGCAAAGCACTGTGCTCAGAAGAGGCCTTCACAAGGACATTCCACATTAGGACATGTTCCGGGCAGCATGTGCGCTCGATAAACAAAACCACTTGGAGACGGAAAATAATTTCCAAAAATACCAAAGACTTCTTTTTCCACAAAGAATCCCCTCCCTCTCCCAACCCCGGGTAAATTGTTAACATTCAATAAACTATTTTAAGACTTGCTGCCTGGCGCCTGAGCACGCCGGTGCATGGAGATAAAGCTGGTGTTTGCCATCCAAGCGCCTGTATCGATACACTGCCCCCAAACCTTAGCCACTTTGCAAAGCAGGACTGCCTTTGGGAGCCGCTCTGAGGGTTTGGGTGGCACAAAAGCAGAGAGCCCCGGGTGGAAGAATCCTTTTAAAGTTCAGCTAGGTAAACATCAGCTTCCATTCAGGTTATTTTCCACTGCCTTCAGAAGAGCATCAATATCATCATCCTGATAACAAACGCAGCGTTCTACATCGACAGCACATCCCAGCCCCAGATCTCGTGTCACTTTGCAATCATGAATGAAGTCTCACATTCCCATCCACCACAATGGTAGGTAAGATACAGAGAGGCAACTTGACCCACTACTGAATGGCAGACGCATCTGGGCCCAGAACACAGTTGCTGTTTAATCAAGTACAGTAGAATGACCTGATGTTTTAGGACAGGAAGTGAAGAATCTTATGGCCAACTAAAATGCAGGGGGGCGGTTCTGGAGGCAGAATGTAAATTAGCTGGGTAGGTCTCTAACATGCTGGTTCTGTCACAGTGCCCCAGGGACTATTAATGACTGAGCGGTGAGGGGACGTTGTCTTTTATGCCATTGCAAAGTCAAGGGTGGCGCTTAGAAGGCAGGGCTTAGCCCTCTGTTTTAACCCCATTGTGGAGGGGTTGGCCAGGGATGGCTGAGTGGGTCTGTGCTTTGGAGGCTAGGATGGGACCCAGTCATGAGTCTCTGAGCTGCCTGCGGGAAGACTTGGCACTGCGGGCAGGGCTGAGTAGAGGGCCTGGCAATGGGCCAGGAACCTGAGTGTTGTCACCCCAAACGCTTAAACTGGCGTGGTGCAGCCCATGGAGACTACAGGTCCCAGAATGCACTGCAGCCAGGCTGTTCATCTCAGGATAGGGTGACCAGATGTCCCGATTTTATAGGGACAGTCCCGATTTTGGGGGCTTTTTCTTATATAGGCTCCTATTACCCCCACCCCCCCAATCCCCTGTCCTGATTTTTTTACACTTCTATATGGTCACCCTATCTCAGGATGGGGCTTCGCAAGCTGGGAATGATCAGCCTCCATGCATTAAGGATGAGGGCTGTTGGGGAGCTCTGTGGGCTGCCTTTGGCTAGTCCCCCTTAGTGAGCCACCTCTTGGAAAGCTGTTGACATCACCAGCTACAGGCTAATTCTCAACTGAGCAGAGGTGGTGGCTGTGGGGCTCTCAGCCTCCACTCGCTTAAGGGGGGTGGGGGGAGTGGACTCAGCCATTGAATGCTCTCAATTCACTCTCAGTCACAGGGGATACAATCTGTGGCCAAACGCAGCCCTTGGCCCAGCCCTCACTGACCTCACCAGGAGCTGCTCTCGTTCACGGGAGGGCTGAACCGGGTCTTGTTTGAATACAGGGGCTGAACCTGTGTTGAGCCGCACAGCTTCCCAGCTGCCCAGATGCAGCACGGCTGCGCTCAGCTTTATCTAGGCAAATTTCCACTTCCCCTGGTGTCTTCAGTCTTGGCCTCAACTGTTGGTTTCAATTTGGTGGGTTTATGTGTGTGTTTTATTTTTAGAATCAAAAGGTGTTTTTTAGCCCTTATCTGTCAAGACTGTCCTGCCCATCTCCGTGGTGCTAGGTGAGAGATCGAGAGATCTTCTCCACGTGGTAACCTTAGGTTAGGAGCAAAAATGCTAATGTAGGGTTACCATATTTTGTGCCTCCAAATGGAGGACACTCCACGGGGCCCC